AACCCCTGTCTGAGCTGCTCCTGTCAGTCGAACCCGTCTGAACTGCTCCTGTCAGTTGAACCCCTGTCTGAGCTGCGCCTGTCAGTCGAACCCCTGTCAGTCGAACCCCTGTCTGAGCTGCTCCTGTCAGTCGAGCCCCTGTCTCAGCTGCTCCTGTCAGTCGAACCCCTGTGCATCTGGAGCAGACGCAGTGAGGCCCTCCCAGCCGTGCACTCAGAGGCACACATCAAATTCTCCAAATTTCTCCTTCCCTCAAGAGTCGGTCTTATCTGCTTTGCTCTCTCCTTCCCTGTTGGAGTCCCTATCGCCGCCATTGAGGCCTATTTGGCAGTCAAACATCACAGGACAAACAAGCCCCAGGGGATTTGCATTCTGTTTAGAGAAAATGTTTGCTCTCCCCACAGGCCCCAGGGCAGCACATCCTGCTCTCTGGCTCGGGGGGTTTTCACATGCAGACTCCCCGCTGAATTGCAATGAGAAAGCCAGGCCCTCTCCAGCCCTGCCTGGCTGCTCCCAGCCGGCCCGCGGGTGCCCACGCCAGAGGTGCAGAAAGCACAGAACCTTGTTTAGAAAGCGAACGGGCTAAGACAGCGACTGTCAGTGTCCGTCGTCATCAGGGTAGGCATGGTGAACGGCCCTCTCTTCACAAAGGGATGTATTCCCCATCGCTGGGTCTCGTAAGGAACTGGAAAGATGGTTCTCGAGTGGGCCTTCCCTGTACGTACATGTTTTGTCTGTCTTGCCAGCGGTGTACGAACACAGCGAGAGATTCATTTCGTTTCATCGGAAAGAGTTCTCCTTCGCTGCTCATCAGGCAGGATCTGAGTCTCTATCTGTCCCTGGATGCAAAACCAGGAGCAGCTCAGTTAACCCCCTCAGGGCTGGTTGTGGCATCACATTACTGCTAGAGGAGATGTCAGGGGGCTCGTGTCTCTGGAGCGAGATTTCTTTCCTAAATCAACAGATCACTGCGGTAATGCAGCTGCTGAGATATCCTTTCGGCAGGAAGGATGCAGGCAATGCCGAGAGCTCTGTTTGGGCCCCAGGCGGGGTGGGGTGCGTTCCTGAAATCGACGTCCGGCGGCCCCCCAAGCCTGTCCACCCCCTGGGGCGGTCAGCTCCTGAGATCGCCCCCCCCCCGGCCTCTCCTTTGCATGCGAGTCTGTAATAGTTCTGTCTTCATTTGCCTCTGGCGGTCAAAGGCCTTTCCCTTTCGGAGGAGGGATCGAAGGGAGGAGGCAGCGACGCTCGAAACATGCAAACTCAGTCAAATAGGACTGGGCTGGGCTGGGCTGGTGCGCGCTGGAGCGAAGGCAGCAGATCCTCGTGCTCCTTTCCCCGCAGCAGGTCGGTCCAGTGAGTCTCGATCTCGCCTGAGCCCTACAGCCGGACATCGCCGGACATCGCCGACTGACCAGCTCGCTGCACTGAGGTAGGAGCCGACCCTCGGCCGGGATTCCTGTAGGCTCTCGGCTCTGCAGTTTGGGTTGAGGCTGGGAAGCAGGAACGAGGACAGGCGTGGGATAATGGTTTCGGGAGCGGGATGGTGGGGGGGTTTGTGTTTGAGCCGGACAGGGAAGATTCCAGGTTTGTAAGTGTGATAGGTGCCAGAACCCAAAGATCCCAGGAAGCAGTAAAGGACCTTGACTGAATGCCTGAGATGAGCTTGTGGGTTTTACCTGTTACCTGTTATCTGTTGTCTCCTGACTGCTGTGGAGGTGCCAAGAGCTTTGTGCGAAGGTATTCTGTCGTTCGGGGGCAGCTGTAACTCAGGGCAGGCGGGGCTTGAAGCTCTGGAGCTGAAGGGCAGATCTCCCTGGAGGGTCCTGTGCACGTTGTTCCTGTAAGACAGGGCGAAGTGTCCTTAGCAGGACAGCGTGTTCCTCCCTGGGTCTGTGACTGGTTTGGGCCAGCGAGTTTCAGACCTTCCCTGCTCCCGAGGCGGGAATGTGCAGTGGGCCAGCCCTGGGTTCTCACCCCATGCTGCACGACAGCGCCCCCGTGTGGCTCCACAGGCACCTGTCGACCTGGGAGCTGCCCTGTGGGGGGCCGGAGCCGTCTGCTGAAGCAGCTGTGATGATGATGATGGTGGTGTTTCAGCCCACAGGAAAGCCGAGGAAGACCGCGGGCAGGATGGAGTACACATTCCGCGCCGTCACCCACACGCCTGGGATCATCGTCTGGAGGATCGAGGTACCGCTGAGTCTCCCCCACTCGTGGTGAGCGGGGCTGTCTCTGAGCCTCGTCAGGGCACGACGAGTGTGTCGCCCTAAATCACAGCACCCACTTTTCTAGAATGGACCACACTAAAAAATGGAATACAGACACCTTCCTTCTGTTTTTAATCTTTCATGTCTTTAATATAAGTCTTACATGGCATAACTCATCGTTTCAGCAAGCAGAGGAAAAGTTGCCCAATCCTTGTTCTGGGGCCCTTTAAAACCCAGATCTAAGGCTTTTAAAAACCCTTTCCCTTTCCCCTGTTTTGTGTGCTGTGCGTGCGATGTAAGCCTATGATGCTCTTCCCCGGCCTGAGCGCGGTATTCCTGAGCCCACAGGGGGGCAGCGACAGGCTCCACAGCTCCTTGGCTGTAGCCTAATCCACCGCGTCTCCCTGGACTGTGTGTATTAGTGCCCATTCTCCAGGAGAACCTGTGCTGCCTCTTCCGAGGGCAGGGCAGCTCCACAGTTCATTTTCAGTTTCCTTCAAACACTCCCACTTTGGTTTTATCTTCCAGATGTCTATTTAAGTATCTTGTAGTTTCTCCGAAGCATCAGATCCTGATCATTTACGGTTAGATCTTGAATCAGCTCTCCAATGAGCTGCCCTGTCATCTCTCTGGAGATTCATTGGTCATCTTTTGGCTGAAGTTTTTATCCAAAGAGACGCACATGAGTGTCCGTTTACACAACTGGGCATTTAACTGGAGCCACCCGAGCGGCAAACCCAGCTCAAGGGCACAGCAGCTGTGTCCAACCTGGGATTTGAACCCGGAATCCTCAGCCCTGCTCCGCGCTGCTGCCTGGAGGGCCAGTTCAGCCGATTTTCCTCCAGCCCTGCTCAGCTCATCTCCCCCCTCTTTGTGTTGCAGAAGATGGAACTGGTGCTGGTGCAGGAGAAGTTCCACGGCAGCTTCTACGAAGGAGATTGTTACATCCTGCTGTCTGTGAGTAAGCAGATTATTACATTCGTTTTTATGGTATTTAATCAAACTGCCAATTATGCACGTAAACATAAATTAGAACATACAGTACGACTACAACTGAGCGGAGGCCACTTGGCCTGCCTTGCTCTGTCGTATTCCGTAACGAACTGATCTGAGGATAAACTAAACCCTTGATTAAATAATAAAGGAGCAGTTACATGAATCAGTCTTATCATTAAGTTCACGCACTTGTTCGAAGTCCAGGGGTACAGCCGATGAGGAGTACTGCTCTGTTGTGTGCTGGACAGGAGAAAAGACGTGAACACTTTTCGAACTGTAATCCGATTTTCCTCTCCACCCGGTGTGTGTGTGTTCGTTGGTCGGAGGTGGAGTTTCAACACCAAGCTTCTAACCTGTCCTGCTCTCCAGCGTGCCGCATGTGTGGGTCCCGGAACCCACCAGCAGAGGGCGCAGAGGGGCTTGAGCCCAGTCTCTTGTCTCCCGACGTGTGTGTTTCTCTCAGACGCAGCGCTGCGGCACCACGGTGTCCTACCACGCCCACTACTGGATCGGGTCCGAATCCACGCAGGACGAGCAGGGGGCCGCCGCCATCTACATCACCCAGCTGGACGAGTTCCTGGGCGGGAGGCCCGTCCAGCACCGGGAGGTCCAGGGCCACGAGTCGGACACCTTCAGGGGCTACTTCAAGCAGGGCGTCATGTGAGTCCCCACGGGGGTGCCCAGAGCCTGGATCCAGCTGCCCAGCTGTGTCAGGGAAGCGCTGAGCTTTAACAGGCCCGGTTCTGAGGAAGAGCAGCCTTGCAGTGTGCTATACTGTACCCCCTGCCCTGACACTGCAGGCCCAGAGGGTTATAAAGAGGGACAGGCATCCCTGGTGGTGCTCAAGGAGGTGGTGTCCCGAGTGACAGCTGCATCTTCTGTTCCACCTGGAAGGGTTTGAGTTGACCGAGTGCTTGAGTGTCAGATCGCTCCATCACGTACCTGGGGCTGCAGGGCGGAGTGAGAGAGTGCGGTCCCTCCGACTGGCTCTGTCCACCCATCTGTCTGTCTGGCTTGCTCTGCAGCTATAAGAAGGGGGGCGTGGCATCAGGGATGAAACACATGGAGACCAACAGCTACGACATCAAGAGGCTGCTGCACGTGAAGGGAAAGAGGAGGGTGACTGCCAAAGAGGTGCATCAGCCTGGCTCTCACACTGACAGCTCACACACACACACACACTGACAGAGCTCACACACACACTGACAGCTCACACACACACTGACAGAGCTCACACACACACTGACAGCTCACACACACACTGAGAGCTCACACACACACTGACAGAGCTCACACACACACTGACAGCTCACACACACACTGACAGAGCTCACACACACACTGACAGAGCTCACACACACTGACAGGGCTGCCAGACACAGACTGACAGAGTTCACACACACACACACTGACAGAGCTCGCACACACACTCACTGAGAGCTCACACACACTGACAGGTCCCACTCACACACACTGACAGGTCCCACTCACACACACTGACAGCTCACACACACACTGACAGCTCACACACACACTGACAGAGTTCTCGCTCTCTCTCTCACACACACACACACACACACCAAGTGTACTGGCTACAGTGGGGTGTTTTACTGTGGGCGTGGCTTGTGAGTGACAGGAGGACCACATGGTGGGTGTGTCCTGCATACAGTGGGACATCCTGTGCAGCAATGATACAGTTGAACTGGCAGCCCAGTATGTGAGCCTGTCTCTCAATAATGCCCCATATGTCTACAATATATGTAAATATTGTATGATGTGTCTTTATTGTAAATGTCTGTAGATTTTTTAATGATAATGGTATTTGTTTTGCTTTGATAACACTGATTGTACTCATCGGTCATGCCAGTAAAGCATCTAGAATTGAAATTACTGGGTCTCTGCAGGTGGAGATGGACTGGAAGAGCTTCAACCTGGGAGATGTCTTCCTCCTGGACAACGGCAAGACCATCATCCAGTGGAATGGTCCTGAGAGCAACCAGCAGGAGAGGCTCAAGGTGCTGGACACTGGACAGTGGACAACACTGATTACTGAGCACTGGACAGTATCTCTGGACACACCATGTGCACACTGACACAGTCTTCACAGTCCACATGCACAGAGAGACAGTGCAGAGAGAGGAAGACCTCATACTGATGTCTTCCACTGACCGTTCTGACTTTGAATCACATACTGTACAGCCATCACCCCAAACTTGTCTTACCGGTGTTGTTTACCACATGACTGTCCTGTTTTGTTAATTGTGGCCTCTGGCTTACAATGAGACTTGAATCAGAACTAGGGTGGTGGAAGATGCACTCTAAGAAACCCAGGGTTTAGCTGCTGGAGGGCTCGTTGTTCTCACTGGACTTACAATCCTGATGTGGAATATAACGTTCAATGCTACTGAGCAAACAATAGGGCACTTTGTTTTAAAACCTCTAGAGCTTATTGTCCCCTTGCATGCAGTTTCCTGGAACTGGTAAAACCTGGACTGGATCAGACTGCTGTGTAATCAGACCTGCGGGGTGTGTCCTCTTGCTTGTCTCCTGCAGGGAATGTTGCTGGCCAGGGATATTCGGGATCGGGAGCGGGGGGGCCGTGCGGAGATCGGGGTGATTGAGGGCGATGCAGAGCAGGACTCGCCGGAGCTGCTGGAGATCCTGACTGGGATTCTGGGCCAGCGGACGCTGGAGCTGGGCAGAGGGGAGCCGGACGAACAGGCCGACCAGCAGCAGAAAGCCAACGTCACCCTGTACCAGTGAGTTCAGGCTGAGGGCCTGCGTGTGTCAGCTGTCTCCTGTGTGTCTGTGTGTCAGTCTGTCTCCATGTCAGCCTCTGTCTCTATGTATTTCCATGTCAACCTGTGTCTCTTTGTGTCAGTCTGACTCCATGTCAACCTGTGTTTCCATGTCAACCTGTGTCTCTTTGTGTCAGTCTCCACATTAGCCTGTCTCTGTGTGTCAGTCTGTCTCCATGTCAGCCTCTGTCTCTATGTGTTTCCATGTCAGCCTGTGTGTCTGGGTGTCTGTGTCTCTGTCTCTGTTTGTCTGTCTGTCTCCACGTCAGTCTGTTAGAAAGTTACTGTAACAGTGACTGTCAGTGACCAACACATCAGCCTGTGTCTCTGTGTGTCAACCTGTGTCTCTATGTGTCAGTCTGTGTCTGTGCCTTTGTGTGTCAGTCTGTGTCTGTCTGTCTCCAAGTCTGTCTCCACGTCAGCCTGTGTCTCTGTCTCTGTGTGTCTATCTATCCTTTCATGTCTGTCTCTGTGTGTCAGCCTGTGTCTCTGTCTCTGTGTGTCTATCTATCCTTTCATGTCTGTCTCTGTGTGTCAGCCTGTGTCTCTGTCTCTGTGTGTCAGTCTGTCTCCATGTCAGCCTCTGTCTCTATGTGTTTCCATGTCAGCCTGTGTGTCTGGGTGTCTGTGTCTCTGTCTCTGTTTGTCTGTCTGTCTCCACGTCAGTCTGTTAGAAAGTTACTGTAACAGTGACTGTCAGTGACCAACACATCAGCCTGTGTCTCTGTGTGTCAACCTGTGTCTCTATGTGTCAGTCTGTGTCTGTGCCTTTGTGTGTCAGTCTGTGTCTGTCTGTCTCCAAGTCTGTCTCCACGTCAGCCTGTGTCTCTGTCTCTGTGTGTCTATCTATCCTTTCATGTCTGTCTCTGTGTGTCAGCCTGTGTCTCTGTCTATGTGTGTCAGTCTGTGTTTCTGTCTCTGTGTGTTAGCCTGTGTCTCTGTGTGTCTACCTGTCCTTTCATGTCTTTCTCTGTGTGTCAGTCTGTGTCTCCATGTCAGTCTGTGCCTACAGCCTCTGTGTCTGTTTGTATGTCAATAATGTCCTGTGATCCCATGATCCTCCCTGTCCTGTTCCCGCAGCGTGTCTGATGCTCAGGGTCAGATGAAGGTCACCGAGGTTGCAACAAGGCCACTGGTCCAGGACCTGCTGAACCACGATGTGAGTGTGCGACACACTGAGAGAGGGGTCACCGAGCTGATGACGCCCCAGCCTGACAAGCACAACCCCCAGAGCCCTGCGGCCGGGCTCCGCTCTTGACTGCCACCTTGTGTTTTGCAGGACTGCTACATCCTGGACCAGGGCGGTGTGAAGATCTTCGTGTGGAAGGGCAAACGGGCGAACAAGGCAGAGCGGCAGACCGCCATGGCGCGCGCTATGGTGTGTGTCCCGCGCAGGGGAATACGACTGGGTCCTTGCATCAGAAGGAAGGCTCTGAGCTCGTTTATTGAGGGCTGAGCTGAAAAGCATTACAGAAATGCAAGGAATCACTATTACAGTTAGCATTTTTCTAGACTCTAATTATTGGGCAGTGGCACCTCTTCTAAACTGACCCATCATCCTAGGAAGCAGATCATGATTTTATCTAAGGTGCCAGTTTGGATGGAGTGGCTCAGGTACACCGAGAAGCCTCTGTATCTCAGCGCAGGGTGCAAATGAGTTCAGTACTCAGTGAAGTGAGCCAGTGCAGCCCCTCTCCCCCAGGTCTGAAGGTAGAGCTGCGAGCCCTGCTGGACTGAGGGTGTCGCCTCTGCTCCGCAGGATTTCATCAAGATGAAACACTACCCGGTCACCACCAACGTGGAGACGGTGAACGACGGCGCCGAGTCCGCGCTGTTCAAGCAGCTGTTCCAGAGCTGGGTGGTCAGGGAGCAGACGGTGGGCATGGGGAGGACCTACAGCGTGGGCAGAGTGGGTGAGTCCTGAGAGCCTGGATCCGTGGCCCTCCGCCACCCCCGACCTGGCAGCTTGTGTTTCCCGAGGGGGTCCTGCTGTGGTCTGGGGGTACTGGCGCCCACAGTCGTGTTCTGATTTAAGTTGCAAGCTGTGTTTCGGCTGTGGAGCTTCTCCAGGTGTGAGGGACAGAGGGAAACTGAGCAGGGAGTGGACGAGTGTCAGCACTCTGGGAGAACTGGAAGACAGGTGTGAAGCCAAAACCTGGAACTGAATAGAGAAATGTCTATGCTCCATTAGAATAGAGAATGTCCGAAGATATAAGAATAGAGAATATTTTATTCTCTGTTAGAATTTCTTCTCTATTCATGTGCAGGTTTTGACTTCACGTCTCTCAACTACCCTCTCTTCTGCTCTCCTGTGCTGCATTAACTGCCCGTTTGCCTCTCTCCCTCACACCTGGAGAAGCTCCACAGCCGAAACGTTGTGTCTCTGTTCCTTTCCTCTCGGCGTGGACTGAACCTTCACCCGCTCCTGTTGACGGTTGGATGGGTACAAGTTGATCGATCCCTTGCCCTCCTGTCTCCCCCAGCCAAGGTGTCCCAGGAGAAGTTTGACGCCACCCTCATGCACGCCAAGCCGGAGATCTCCGCGCAGGAGCGCATGGTGGACGATGGCTCGGGCCAGGTGGAGGTGAGCTCCCCCAGCAGTGACACGGGCTCACCAGCAGCTCCTCAGCTGCCCAGTCCAGTAACCAGTGCAGCTCAGTGAAGACAGCAGAGGAGGAGTCAGTCCCTTCTATCTGAAAATAGATTCATCTGAATATAGAAAATGAAATGGATCATCTGCACTGGAGCTAGACTGGACACAGTCTGGTATTAGTGTTTGGTCAAGTAATGTTATGCAAAACTATGCAGCACCCATGACTTTAATAATAATCGCTTCCTTCCTGTGTGAGCCATGGACTCTGAGGTCGAAAACAGAGCCGGGATTCATGCAGACCACCAGGTGGCGCTCTTCCTTCTGTGCCTGAGTTTCCAAACCAGTGGTTTGGTGAAATTCATACCCAGTCTGGTGACCAGGGACACCGGGCTGTAGAAGGCGCTGTCTTTCAGATGAGACGCTAAACTAAGATCCACACTACCTGGTCTTGACTGATCCCATGGCCATAAGCCAGGTGTGTAGGGAGGTGTGCTAACTCCAGCAACAGGAAGCAGAAGCTACACCGATCTGTGTCGCCCTCTGCAGGTGTGGAGGATTGAGAATGTGGAGCTGGCCCCCGTTGACCCCAAGTCCTACGGCTTCTTCTACGGAGGCGACTGCTACCTGGTGCTGTACACTTATGAGGTCAACAACAGGAAGTGCTACCTGCTCTACTTCTGGCAGGTGAGGCTGCTGCTGTCACCTGCTGGACAGCCTGGGAACTGCAGGCAGGCATTCAGACAGATAAGATAAGATCACTTTATTGGTCATATACAATTTCTTGTATAAGTAATTTGTCTTTTCACATACCCCAGCTTGCTCTCCATGAGACACACAGACAGAGAAAGAAAACCTGGGGTCAGAGCACAGGGTCAGACATTTATATGGCATCCATAGAGCAGTTGGGGTTAAGGGCCTTGCTCAGGGGCCCAACGAAGTAGGATTACTCTGCTGGCCACGGGATTTGAACTGGCAACCTTCCAGCCACAGGCGCAGATCCTTAGCCATAAAGCCACCGCAAGATGTGATCTTGCTTAGTGAACAGTCCTTCAAACCTGTGTGTTTGCAGAAAACAGTTCAGTTATTTCTGTGTGCTATATATGAATGGCCTGCACTGTAGTGTCACAGCACAGCAGATTCATGTCCAGGTCCTGGCTTCAATTCCAGACTGTGCAGTGCAGATAGTTTTCTCCAGAAGCTCCTGTTCAATCCCCTTTTGAAAGAAGGGGTAACTTGTGTGAGGTGTTTCACTGTGATGGGCTGGTGTCCTGTCCAGGGTGTGTGTGTCCTGTGATGAGTTGTTGTCCTGTCCAGGGTGTATGTGTCCTGTGATGGGCTGTTGTCCGGTCTAGGGTGTGTGTGTCCTGTGATGGGCTGTTGTCCTGTCGAGGGTGTATGTGTGGTGTGATGGGCTGGTGTCCTGTCCAGGGTGTGTGTGTCCTGTGATGGGCTGGTGTCCTGTCCAGGGTGTGTGTGTCCTGTGATGGGCTGTTGTCCTGTCGAGGGTGTATGTGTGGTGTGATGGGCTGGTGTCCTGTCCAGGGTGTATGTGTCCTGTGATGGGCTGGTGTCCTGTGATGGGCTGTTGTCCTGTCCAGGGTGTATGTGTGGTGTGATGAGCTGGTGTCCTGTCCAGGGTATGTGTGTCCTGTG